TGATATGATGATGATGATGAGCTAGGGAGGAGGAGAGGAGGAGGCGGAGGAGGAGGAGGAGGAGGAGAAGACGAAGAGGAGGAGGCGGAGGAGGAGGAGGAGAAGGATGAGGCCACCCCGGGGGAAACCGCCCTGTGTGAAGGGCGGTTCGGGAGTCTGCCGGCTCCGGACCACAGTTCGTCGGCCGCGCAGGAAAGATTCGCGACCGCCGAAGGAGGAGGAGGAGGAGGAGGAGGAGGACAATGATGATGAGGAGGAGGCGGTGGAGGAGGAGGAGGAACAAGAGGAGGAGGAGGAGGCGGAGGAGGAGGAGGACGAGGAGGAGGAGGACGAGGAGGAGGAGGAGGAGGAGGAGGAGGAACAAGAAGAGGAGGACTGGTGCAAGCGAAAGACTCATCAACGATGTTGCAAGCAACCCTCTTTCCAAGTTCCCTCTTCGGAGGCCCCTACAAGGAATCATCTTCACTGAAGGAAGTGCCCCGTTGAAGAACAACCATTTGAAAATACGGAACTGTGCCAGAACACCGTTTTTAGGACTTCAACGCCGAGAATCACCGTTACTGTTGCATCTAGACGATTGAGAATCGTGCCAGAGCACCATTTCTGGGACCTCAACACCGCAAACCAACGTGGCTGTTGCGCTCTGACATTCCGACATCGTGCCATAACGCCATTTCTGGGACGTCAGCCATTTGAAGCTGTTGCAGAATCTTGAGACGACTGTGCGCAGCGCTTGTACAAGAGCCGCGTGTTGACAAGACACGACATTCATCCGTGAAGCTCGTGCAATGTTTTCACCTGAACTTGCGCGTCGCTAAGGTGAGAGCCCCACTATGAAAATAACGGCCCTCCGTCCGTGAAGCTCTTGCAGTTTTTAGTGCGAATGTACGCGGCGCTAAAGCGAGAACCACATGTTGAAAACGTGCGGCCTCCAATCCGTGAAACTTTGGCAACTTTCTGAACGAATGTACGCGGCGCTAAAGCGACACTCACCAGGTGAAACGCCCAGTCCGTCCTTTCGACTGGCCTCGGGGTGCGACAGAGAGGAGTTATCCGTAAGGGCTTCGCCCCATGCCGCTGGCCCCCTGTCTCGGATAATGGGAGATGCAAAAGCTAAATCATGAGGTCTGGGCGCCGCCGTGAAGCAGTGTCGGGACCTGTTTGTTTTTCGACCCTGACCCCGCCGATCTGCGTGAGGGGTGCCCCTGAATTTCAGAAATGTGGCAAATCCCTTTTGTTTTGGATCGTGGCCCCGCCGATTTGCGTGAGGGGTGCCACCGACTTTGAGAAATGTGACGCGTCCCCTGTGTTTTTGGACCCCGACCCCCGCCGATCTGCGTGAGGGGTGTCACCGAATTTGAGAAATGTGACACGTCCCCTGTGTTTTTGGACCCTGACCCCGCCGATCTGTGTCATATTTCAGAAATGTGATACATCCCTTGTGTTTTTGGACCCTGACCCCGCCGATCTGCGTAAGGGGTGCTACCGAATTTCAGGAATGTGGCAAGTCTTATGTTTTTTTGGACCCTGACCCCGCCGATCTGCGGGAGGGGTGCCACCGAATTTCCGAAATGTGGCGAATCCCTTGTGTTTTTGGACCCTGACCCCGCCGATCTGCGTGAGGGGTGTCACTGGAGTTCAAACATGTGGCAAATCCCTTGTGTTTTTGGACCCTGACCCTGTGGTTCAGTGTGAGGGGAGTTAATTTTTACCCCCCAGAAAAATGATAACCCTCCCAGGGCGTGGTAATTCTGCTGGTTTGGGCTCCCCCCCCCGCGCGTTCATCAACAAGGAACAGCAAGCAGCAAGAAGCAGAACTGTAACGGTGGAAACTGGAAGCTGCAACTGGTAAAGGGAGCAGCACACTCCGGGCCTACAGCTTGGTGGCCCCGCAAGGGGGCCGGCGAATTTTATCAGGAGGAGGAGGAGAAGGATGATGATGAGGATGATGATGATGATGATGATGATGATGATGATGATGATGATGATGATGATGATGATGATGATGAGGATGAGGATGAGGATGAGGATGATGATGATGATGATGATGATGATGATGATGATGATGATGATGATGATGATGAGAGGAGGAGGAGGAGGAGGAGGAGGAGGAGGAGGAGGAGGAGGAGGAGGAGGAGGTGGAGGAGGAGGAGGCGGAGGAGGAGGAGGAGGAGGCCGAGCAGCAGGCCCAGCACAAGAAGAAGCTGGCAGAGATCGAGGCGAAATTCAAGAAGGGCGTCCTCTCCGCCGAGGCGCACCGCCGTGCTCCCCCTCGAAGAGAGACCTACTGGTCTTCGGCCCAATCCCGCCAGAGTCCTGTTTTGGGACCCTCTCCCAAGGGAGGAAAAACCACCTGGACCCGACAGTTGGCGTTTACTTGACAGCCCTGGGCGTGTACTAATCAGCCTTGCCCTGTTTGAACCCTTCCCTGGGTGCGTTTGCTAAGCGGCTTCGCGTGTCGGGGTGGTTCTTATCGGGGTGGATTTTCTGCCCTCTACAGTCAAGACGCCGAAATAAGGAACAGTTTGGGTTCGGAAGGGGCTCGATGTTCCTTAGGTTCCTCCAGTGCTGTTCCTCTTACCCTCCTGGGGCACGGAGGCGCTTACAGGGCCAAGAAGGGGCTGCGTTCCTCATTTAGCGTTCCTTCTTTCAGCAGCCCGACTGTGCTCTCGGGGAACCGCGGGAGGCACGCTGGGGAACCCCAACCCCGAGGGCCGCGGGCCGCGGACCGCAAGAGGGACCCGAAGGGCGCGCCAGCTCGTGCCTCGCGTCACGGTGGCGGACCGGCTTCACACAGATCATCGCTGGTCGGGGGCCTTGAGAGACGGGGGTCCATGCAAACGGGGGTCATCGCAGGCCTAGAGATTGACACCAACACCAATATCGGCGGTGTTCCTCCACCGAGGGGAGAAAGATCCCGATCTACCACTAACACCGAAATCTAGGATCATATTCCCCCTGTAGAGGCAGCTCCCTGTCTTGGTGTTGGTGCCCATTTCCAGGCCTCCAGAGTCAGCCAGAGCGCCAGGTCTTGCAGGATCCTGCAGGGCCAGGGTCACACTGACCCGGATCCAGGTGCAGGGTCCTGCAGGATTTTGCAGGGTCCTTTGCGTTGACCCGGGTTCGGGTGCAGGATCTTGCAGGATGCCCGACTGGCCCGGGTCTGGACCGACCCGGGTCAGAAGATCCCCGAGTTCGGGAGTCCGAAGGGATTTCTCGGGTCGGCGCTGGACCCCCTCCCGGCAGCAATTCTGGCGCCAACCCAAGGAATCCGTAATTTCCGTTGTCGTCGTTGCTTTTGCCGTCGCCGTTGCCGTCGTCGTCGTCGTCGTCGTCGTCGTCGTCGTCGTCGTCGTCGTCGTCGCGTCGTCGTCGTCGTCGTCGTCGTCGTCGTCGTCGTCGTCGCTTTCGTCCAGCGTTGGTTGGCTGCGCGCCAGCGCGGCCCTTCGCGGGAGTGAACTCCGGTGCGGGCCCGCAGTCCGCCCACGTGGGGTCCGAGTTGGTGGGGCCAGGGGATCATCGGAGGACCTCGCCGCATCGGCGGTGCATCGGCGGTGCATCGGCGATGCCGATGCATCTGTGATGTCGCATCTGATCTGGACGGGCCTCCACGCATGAGAGTCCTCTCGGCACTGGCTGGCGCGCTGGGGCCCGCGACCCCCCCCTCGCGCCCCCCTGGAGCCGCGCACCAGTGGTCACCCTCACCCGTGGCCACTCTTACCAGGCCTGCGCACAGGGGGGTCGGGGGAGGGGGGAAGGCTTCTCAGAAGCACCCCTGCGTCTTAGGAGGCGCGGGCCCTGGCTGCAGATGTGAGGCCGACGCCTTCTGAGGAGCAGCCTCCTTCCGAGAAGTCTTTCACCCTCCCCCTACCCTCCCGTGCGCGCCGCCAACTTACGCATGGCCGAGTAGACCAGACTTCAACCGAAACGGCTGCAGGCTCCGTTCTCCATTCCTCCCTCGTCGTGGTGGTCGTTGTCGTCGTCGCCGTCCTGCTTGGGGCGGGCCAGATTTGCACCGAGGCTTCCCAGATTTGCACCGAGACAGCCCTGGTGTTGGTGTATAGTTGGTGCCTTCCTATGGTTCCCTCATTCCGTCCCTCCCTCGTCGTGATTGTCATCGTCGTCCGCCAGCGCTGGCCAGACTCTACCCGAGACGACCGCAGCTTTCTCACCTCGTCCCTTCCTCGTCGCCGTCGCGTCGTCCTCTTACTCTTCAGCGGCCGCGGTCTCCTCTCTCCGTCCTTCCCGCGTCGTGGTCGTGGTCATCCTCTGGCGTTGGCCAGGCTTTGTGACCCAAACGGCCGCTGTCTTCCTCCCTCCCTCCCTCCCTCGCAGCGTCGGCGGAGGCCGTCTTGGCGCTGGCCACACTTGTAACCGAGACGATCCACGCTGTCCTTGCTCCGTCCTTCCCTTCGGTGTGGTCGTCGTCGCCGTCGCCCTCATCCTTCGTCTCCGCCCTCGCGCTCTCCCAGCGGTGCGTTGCAAGCGTCGCCATGGAGGACAGGGCCCTCCTGCGCATCACGCGGGGTCTCTTCCGACGCCGCAGCGGCCCTGCGGCCCAGCGCTTTGCGGCGCGAGCATGTGCATCTGCTCTTGCCTGGAGCCCTCTGGTCACAGGTCCCTGCGCCACGCCGACGGTTGTCCACAGGACCGCTCCTGGGACGCCCCGCCCGCCCGCCCGCCCGCCTCGTCCTCCACCGCTTTTCCTCGCAGGGAGGCGCGCCTCCTCCCCGCGACGCCCCCCGGCGACGCGTCGGCGGGGGCGAGGCCGGGCGAGAGTCGCTCGAGGGTGCCCACGCGGAGCGGCTTCGCGTGCAGAGGTTGCCAAAAAGGGGAGCTTCGCAGGTGGAGGGCCAAGGGCCGTTTTTCGTCAAACTGTGTGGCGCTCGCGCCGTGGCGCCGCCGCGGCGCGGTCGTTGTGGCGCGTGGGCAGAGAGCGCTTTTCACGGACGGAGGGCGGGTGGTCTGCAAGAGATGTGGTCCTCGTCTTGTCGCCGCCG